TATATATATATATATATATATATATATATATATATATATATATATATATATATATATATATATATTAAAAAATTAGACAACAATTTTTAATAAAATCTAAAAGACGAACCCCACAGACAGCCACTTGCATGATGGCATCGAAGCCTCCCTCGGGTGAGTCCAGGTTTCCTGAGATCTGCTGCCTGCTCACCAAGCTATTAAACTGAGAGCCGTCATCGGTCAAACTCAGCACATTCTTATAGCTGAACGGACTGGTGCAGTTCTGGTCTGACGTGCAGGGGTTCAGCAGTTTGGCCGGAGTCGTGCTGATGTATGGCATCACAGTTTTCTCCACAAAAGAACCGAAGCCTGGAAAACAAAACTGCGTAACCAACAATGCACTTCAATAATACAAGGGAAGAGAAATCCAGCATAGACGCTCTGAGGCTCTTACCAATCCTGAAGTCAGAGGTGATCTTTTGCATTTCTTTCATCAGGTCGGTTCCCAGGTTTTTGACGTTTTCCAAATCATCTTTCATAGAGTAGCTGAGGTCCATCAGGTAGTAGAGGTCTATGGGGTAATCCTCAGCCCTCTTGAATTTCAGAGTAAACTTCTGCGCTTCGCCTGAATTGGAATGAGAGATGATCAAGGGATTAGACTACAGCTTTACAGGGGAGTGAATTTATCCTTTCTAGACGAAAAAAAAAAAAATTGCTTTATATGACGTGTAACTATTAGGTGATGTCTAAAATCATGCATTCCTGGAGCTGAATAGTGATGCACCAATCCTTAATTTTCATGGCTGATTCTAACTGCTGATTTTTATTTACTTAATTATTTATTTGTTTTATTTTTTTTAATTGCCCGATATAATAATTCTATAATATAAAATCAAATAAAAACAAATATAATTAATATAATAAATAAAAATAATAAATCTAAAACACCGATAAAAACATTCAAATTGTTTTATATTTTATACTCACTTTTTGGAACAGCAGGAATAACAATGTTGCTGTTTTGCTGTTGTAAACAAAGCAGATGCACTAGAAATGGAGTCGATCATCTAATTAGAAAAACCATAAGAACTTAAAAACGCTGAGTTTCCATGTAAAATATTTAAATAAAATCCTCCACCCCCAATTCAATAGTTAGGATTTTATTCCAGTATTTCTAAAATTAAGAGCTTCTACATGCATAATCTGCACATAAGCCAAAATCCACAGATGCACAAGTACATTAAATAAAGACCATGCATTGTACATTAAACAGAGTGTATCCAAAATAAAATATACTTTGAAAAAGCTAAAAAAAAAAATTTAATCATTAATTTAAATAGTAATTTTTTTCCTACTATGGAAGTCAATGGTTACATGTTTTTAGCTTTCTTATTTTCTTTTAAGAACAGGAAGAAACTTAACGCTTTATAAGTACTTAAGGGTGAGTAAATAGTGAGTGCATTTGCACATTTGAGAAAACTATTCCTTTAATGCTCCGATCACACAGTTTGTACTATAAAATTCTTGCAATGCTGTTTGAGATAATACGACAAACAAACAAAAAAAAATTGCAATCTAGCGTTTGGAGCTGTGGAAATATAAATGTATATAATCTAGTTTCAAATGAACAATAATTTACATATGACTGAAAAGTTATATTCTTTGGTTTTGAATGATATAATTTCATTAAGAGCCCAGCCATGAGGGACATTTACCCTCAGTCTTTCTGACTACTGGCTGAGTCAAAGTGATGCAAATGCTACAGTCAGGCTTTTAACGACTCTGCCTTTGTCTTCGGGCGATGCTTTCATGCTAAACACACCCTTTTGTTAATTAACTTATGTGGTCAGTAGCTGGGCAGGTTTCTAACACCCATATGCCAGTTATCATGCTGACTCCAATATTGAATTTGCATGCTTTGTTTAGCCATCTCTCGATTCTGATTTCTGGCAGGTCGTCTGCTAAATAGACCTGTCATTATATGTATTTTTAGATGTATGATATATTGCACCAAAATATATTGCAATTAACCTTATTACTTTCATTTTAAGACTATTTTATGCCACTTCCAAAGAACACATAATATTTTATGAATATTTCACTTAATTATAGTCATTTTAACAATTTAATAATCAGGCATTAAAATCAGAATGTTAAAACGCATATCCTAAATAAAAATAGTAAATGTTAACAGAAAAAGTACGAGGTAAAAAGTAACGAAGGCAGTGATATCTGCTACCAGATCTATTTTCTGTTGTCAGACACCCACACGAAAGTATCATCTAGTAATTTATTATAAAAACTAGTGTTTTTTAACCGTACTGACACTGACACCTCTAAAGGCTGATTTTTTATTCTTTCGCCTATCGACTGCGCGTGCATTTCACATAATGGATGAGGTTTTTATACTTGACTCGTTCGCTGTTGTGAAGTTCTTTAAAACGACATAGGGCAGTCAAAAGAAAGTGGCCATAAAGTCAGACGGATAACCGAGAAGTAGGAAGTTTCCGGAACTACGTCATATCATTAATAGAATTCAATATTTTTAAACTAATTCTTTTTATTAGTTATTTAATGATTATAAAAGATTATTGTAATCATTTAAGATTTTTTTAAATCAATCTTTGATGCATCACTTGCTTTTATTCATATCTATGAATAATAGATACCTATTATAGTAATATAGTATAAACTACCTATTATAATTTATTAATATTAATGACAACAGAACATGGGTTGCTCTACAAATATATGTTTTGTTATGGAAAGAATAAAAGTACACTTAGTAAAATACTGGCGTTTTTATTTTTTTATATTACTGTCTGGCAATAGTTAGTTTGTGTCCTCTACGTATATGCTTAAATTAATAGTCGAACATTCCTGACCATTATCACCAATAAATCCTAGAAAAACAGGGCATCAGTATGTTGTAAACCGATAGGTTCAAATATTCCTTTCCTCTTATTAAAGAAATAATTTGTTTCTAAATTATAGTTTTGTAACTATTAAATTTTTAAAATTCAAAATTGTAACATATGCACCAGTGTAAAACCTATGACTGGAGGATAAACATATTTCTGTAATTGTTAATTAAAACCACCTGGGTCTCTACTTTTGCCATGGCCTCTCTTTTTGGCTTTAACAAACGCATCCCTCAAATTTTTAAACTTTTTAACAAAAACTTTTTTCCTTTCCCACTGCTGCTGCAATTTCTAGCCCTGAATTTTATCCGTCTGGTTCTCCCTATGATCACGCATGGGCAGATCATAAAGATGTCTGTACAGGCGTACCCGTTTCAGACAAAATCTCTTTAAAGTGATTCATATTCAACTCAAATGAAACGTGGCACCGCGCGCACTGTTCACTCGAGTCTCAAAACATTTTGTACGCTCTGCCAGCTTAAATCATGCCGCGTGCACCCAAAGCAAACCTCTGCAAACACAGCGATGACACAGTTGCCGCACGCACTCAAGTGAACACGGCAAGTATAAACCAGGCTTAATAGAGACAGAAATGTTGCTCAATCAGCTAAAATGTTGCTAGAATTGGTTGCGTATGGGCGATATACAGTTGAAGTCAGAATTTTCTTTTTGAAATATTTCCCAAATCATGTTTAACAGAGCAAGGAAATTTTCACAGTATGTCTGATAATATTTTTTTCTTCTGGAGAAAGTCTTATTTGTTTTATTTTGGCTAGAATAAAAGCAGTTATTAAGTTTTTAAACCCCATTTTAAGGTCAAAATGATTAGCCCCTTTAAGCCAATTTTTTTCTCGATAGTCTACAGAACAAACCATCATTATACAATAACTTACCTAATTACCTAACCTGCCTAGTTAACCTAATTAACCTAGTTAAGCCTTTAAATGTCACTTTAAGCTGTATAGAAATATCTTGAAAAATATCTAGTCTAGAAATGAGTTATTAAAACTATTATGTTTAGAAATGTGTTGAAAAAATCATCTCTTTGTGAAACAGAAATTGGGGAAAAAATTAAACAGGGGGTTTAATAATTCAGGGGGGCTAATAATTTTGACTTCAACTGTATATTGCATCACCAAAAATGATTGAGGTCATGTCCATGAGTTTGACAAGTTGATATCTTGATTATTGTGATAGGTCTATTGGTGCATCTCTGCAGTTGTGACAGAAGTTAAACAGTACCCGATCTGAGGTTCAGGCTGAGCTGCTGAGGCTGAATCTGGGTGATCTGATCTGGCTTCAGTTTTGCTCCATTTTTTGTGCGGTTTGTCACAGGCTGGTTCTTGACGATGGTTATCTTTCCACGAGGATTTTCAATGCTGGCCTTGGAACAGCCCTTTTTCTCCAGAGCCTCGATTTCATCACAGCGTGTGGATTTCTGCTCTCCCTGTTTCAGAAAGCCCTGCGGAAACACAAGGGAGTAGAAGAAAACAGTGTGAGATCATGAACACTCAAACAAATACAGTACCAGCTGGAGCACAGCACGAGCACCAGTATATTTACACCCAAAAAGACAAGAAATATTAGTAACACTTTAGTTAATGCATTTACTAACATGAACTAACAATGAACAATACATTTATTACAGTATTTGTCTATGTTAGTTAACATTAGTTCATGAAAACAGAGTTATCATTACTTCATTTTAGGGCTGTGCAATTAATCGAAAATCCGATTTTGATTTCGATTATGGCTTCTAACGATTATGAAAAACCATTAATCGAGATAAACGATTATTCCATTATTTACCGCCCCCCTGTCCAGTTGTCTTCACTTGTTGCTCTTAAAAGCGCGAAAGACCACATGCTTGACAGAAGCATGCGGTCTGCACTTGGTCTCATTCGCACATTGTGAGGAGCAGAGAGCACACGCATCTAAAGTCATTAACATTAGCGCTTTAATGTTCAAATAGGTGTCAAAACGCGGTGTTTAGTGGTAATTCATATTAACCCTCATTTTGTAATACACAAACGAGATGAGGTTTAAAAGACACGTGAAAGCGAAACCATTAAAGTGACAGAGCATAATAGCTGCCGCCTGTTTTATCATGATTAACAAAACAACGAGAAAATCCCTCTTTGCTCTTGAATGAAGACTTTTGTAGCTAAAGTGTTTTTCTTACGGTGAAGATGCTAAAAGCACAGTTTGTTTCATATTTTTATTTTATTGTATTTATTTCTCTTTCCTTTGCAGGGAGGAAAATAATATATGCAGTTGAAGTCAGAATTATTAGCCCTCCTAATAGACAAATTAGGAGGAACAAAATACAATTTCCAGGAAACTCCACCTGCCTGCTATTGGCCAGAGAAACATTCAGCCCACCCCTTAACTAACACCATTGGCTGAGCCTGTGTTGGCAAGAGGATGTGCAGTGTGTCTGTTGATGCCTTACAAAACTCAAGCCCTCCAGTCTGCATTACCTGTAGTTTAGTGTTTGTATATATCCTGCTTTCTTTAAAGTGGCTAGAGGCGATTGGTGCTTCCTGTCTTGCCATAATCCTCTCCACATGGCAGGAACAGACATGATCACACAGGACGCTGAGTCATGAACACAGAGGGGTAATGTGTGCTAAAGTTCCTCTGAAATGACTCAAGAAATAATAATCAGCCGGAGTCGAATGAAGGTGGGACGAGAGGTGATGTCACTGATTTGGATATTTCGCCGTCCAAAAAAAAACATGTTTTCGGGAGACAAAAGCATTTGCAGAATCACAGGATGTCCTCTACAGGCTTAAATAAACAAATAATCGGACTACAGGAAATGGTTTCCCCACATAACATTTTTCCCTAAATGCACATAATTCAAGAGCAGCCATTGCCTTCTTTACAGGGCAAGTTCAAACCTTGCTGTTAATCAGGCTTTCAGAAATGTGGGCGAGCTTTCTTTTACAGGACAATAAAGCAGATTTTTAGCTGAATATGCGGCTATTCATGAAATATCTGTCACTTTGAGATCACAAAATAAATATGGAGGCAAAACAACATTAATACCCACAGCCTTTGCTCAATACCTTGTTGATGAACATTTGTAAGCAATTGCAGCCTCAAATCTTTTTGAATATGATGCCACAAGCTTGGCACATCTGTCTTTGGGAATTTTTGCCCATTCCTCTTTGCAGTACCTCTCAAGCTCTTTCAGGTTGAATGGAAAGTGACAGTGTACAGCCATTTTCAGATCTCTCCAGAGATGTTCAATAGGATTTAGGTCTTTTAGTTTCATCAGACCAGAGAATTTAGTTTCTTATGGTCTGAGAGTCCTTCAGATGCCTTTTGGCAAATTCTAGGTGGGGAGTGGCTTCTGTCTGGCCACTCCACCATACAGGCCTGACTGGTGGATTGCTGCACAGATGGTTGTCCTTCTGTAAGGTTCTCCTCTCTCCACAGAAGAATGCTGGAGCTCAAAGAGAGTGACCATTGGGTTATCGATCACCTCCCTAACTAAGGCCCTTCTCCCCTGATCACTTAGCTTAGATGGCCGGCCAGCTCTAGAAAGAGTGCTGATGGTTCTAAACATCTTCAACTTATGAATGATAGAGGTCAGTGTGCTCATTGGGACTTTCAGAGCATCAGAAACTTTTTCTGTAACCTTTCTCAGCCTTGTGCCTCGAGACAATCCTGTCTCAGAGGTCTACAGACAATTCATTTGTCTTCATGCTTGATTTGTGCTTTGACATGCACTGTCAACCCTGGGACCTTATATAGACAGGTGTATGCCTTTACAAAAGCATGTCCAATCAACTGAATTTACCACAGGTGAACTCTAATTAAGCTGCTGAAACATCTCAAGAATGATCAGTGGAAACAGAATGTTACTGACCTCAACTTAAAGCCTCACATATATAGAATATTCACAGCCTTTGTCGTGATTTTTCAGTTTTGTTTTTTTTTTAATACATTTGCAACAATTTCAAAAACTCTCTTTTCACATTGTCATTATGGAGCATTGTGTGTAGAATTTTGAAGAAATCCATTTAATCCATTTTGGAATAAGGTTGTAAAATAAAAAAGTTGAAAAAGTGAAACACTATGAATACTTTCAGGGTGCATTGTATATTTTAGTTTAGTAGAAAACTCGGCCTTCTTCATGATATAAGGATCATGCCCATCATATATGTATAGTTTCTATTTATATCTCCTTAGAAAAGTGTAATAAATCACAAAAAAAAACAGACTTTCCTCTATGTCTCCCATTAAGTTTTTTTACTTCCTGCCCTCCATCTGAATTTTGCACGTCACCAGAACCACATGATTTAAAACAATCTTTACTTTAAACTTATTATACAAGTCAATTAAAATGAAATAAATTAGCTGTTCTTTAATCATGTCCAACATTAATTTGAAGGTCTAATTTATACTATTGCTTCAGGCCTCATTTAGTCACTAACACCTTTAAGAAATTACTAAATTGGCACCAGTACCATAAAAAAAAACATTCTGAACTCACCTCATCTGTACACCAGCCACACTTTTCTCCGGCCTGAATGCATTCGCCACAGGACTGGGCCGAAGCCTTGGTGCATTCATTACCATCTGCACACACACACACAAAACACACAACAAAAACATCCATCATCATCAGTCTCGATTTCCTTCCACCACCACTAACACAGGAAACTCAATGCAAAGCACATTTAATAACAAACACTTCGGGCAGACATATGCAATGTGATTCTCATGGGGCCATCCTTTTAAAATAGACTGGCTGTACGCTGTGGAGAGGTCATGTGAACAGTTTTAATGGTGACTTCTCTAAAGACTTAATGCAAACCATGAGGCCAGAGAGCCCAGAATAAACCACACAGAATTGTGAGAGATCACTGGACAGAGATGATGAGCATCCTGCCTCCTATTATTCTGCATTGATGACGTGAAATTTTCTCTTGGTTCTTTTTCTTGGATTCTGAAGCGCCTCCATATCTGAGATATTCCTGGAATGAAAATCACTGCAAATGTCTAACAGATGACCTGGACTGCTTTCTGATGATTTTATCAGGCTCTGCTCTACTGTGTGTTCTGGGTGAGTGCGAAAATCAGTCAAACACTGGGACGCTCCTACACACATACTTCCACAGTAATAAAGAGCCAGCAAACTGTCAGGATATTATCAGATTGTTTTTCTTTTAAATACACAGACATCCCTTAAAGGCAGAGACACACCAAGCAAACGCTTGGCTGTTGGGTAGTGTTGTTCAATTGGTTAATGTCTGTCAGGCTAGTTTGTTTGGTGTGTAGAACCAGTCTCAACCATTGGTGAAAGAGCGATATCATTAGCTGTTCAGCTTTAAATCGGAGGGCCCTATCATACACCCGGCGCAATGTTGCGCAAGGCGTGACGCAGTAGTCTTTTGGTAGTTTCAGCTTGGCTCAAGAGTCGTTTTGAGGCGTTGCGCTACGCTGTTTAAATAGCAAATGCATTAGCGCTCATTTGTGCGCCCATAGGCGTTCTGGTCTAAAAAGGAAGGCGTTCTGAGGCGGACCGCTAGCGCGTTGCTATTTTGAGAAACTATAATAGATTTTTCATTAGACCAAAACTAACCCGGTCTAAACTCCGGCACAGAGTTGCGCCTCACTTACGCACTGCTTAATACGCACAAGAGAGCAATAGGCAAATATCTTTACATATGAAAAAATTTAAATATTAAGGATATATATAGGAAATAATAAGAATAGATATAGGATATAAATATAAAGGATTAAAATATTACAAAACATTATTTTCTAGCCTACATAAATATGAAAAACCACTGCTTTTATGTCTTCTTCATCTCGGGAGGCTTTTTCAGTTCATTCATAACAATTTGCTTTTGTATAATGTTATTATTATTAGCAGTAGTATTTATTATATCCATATTTATATTTGTTTTATTAAAAAAAAGCTTAAATTTGTCTACCTGTCAGGTTTTAGACCATATGGGGCACAGCATGTGTTTTAGGATATAACTCAGGTTTTTAAACACATTTTGCTATTATTATTCATTTATTTGTTTGCTGGAAATTAGAACTGAATTTAAAAATAGTTTTGAAATGAATATTTGCGCTTAACAAAAAAAATTATTTATTTATAGACTAATTGATGTCTGTGCGTAAAGGTTTCCCTATCCAAGAGCGAAAGTGAAAATAGTTCCATTATCTCTCATTCTCACGCAGTAGATGCTCTGTTTAACAGTTTTCTGTTAAAAATAAGTTAACTTTTTGCTTGTGAAATGCTCATTTTTTCCACTTAGACTTACTTTGCGTCCTGTAAATAGCGAATGCGCTCTTGGTGTGACGCAGCTGACTCTTAAAGAGAATGGGAGATGAAACTCTAATTGGTTTATTCTCAAAACACACCTATAACTCATTAAGAAAATAAACTAAACCCTTTTAGACCTTGCGCGGAAGGCAGATTTTCCGTACTTAAATTAGCAAAAACGCGTCCTGACACGCCCTGAAAACGTTTGCGCATGGACCGTCAAAATAGAGCCCGGAGCGTGAGAAGACAAAAACTGAGGTAACCAAACCAAGCAAATGACACAAGTAAAGAGGGAACACATAGAAGGCATTTGGTAAAGAGGAAACCCTTAGTCATATAAAATCCTCTACGAACATAGACCGGTGTCTGATGTTACAGTATAAATGCCTATATTGATATAAATTCCTTGAAATCACGGACAGGTGCCTATATCATCTAAAACTCCTGAAACAAACGTATCCTCACCAGCCATACTGAGCAGCCACGAGTGGCATTTGAGTGATGTCAACCCCCCCATCATCTTAATGGTTAGAGGAGCAAGTGTCAATCTACACTAATGGACCAATGATGACGCTGAAGTCCACCCATGATTTAAATTAAATTCGAATAGCATCTTTTGGAAACGCAAGTGTAGAATGTGGGAACAAATGCGAAGGGGAAAAAACAAGAGCACAAAAAAACATTTAAATAGGAGCGGAAAAACTGATTCGGTCTAAAAGCCTTTTCATTTTTCAAAACTAGATTAAAGACCTATCTTTTTAGCAAAGCACACACTCAGTGCATCACTTAGCGGTATGATACATGAATGTGCTCCACGCAGGTTTCTGCATCTCGTTTATATACACTATGAACAGCAGCTACACTAATTATTCTCTTCATTCTCTATTTCCACCTAGGGATACTCATCCCGAGGCCCTCAGACTATGCAGCGCCACTGATTCGATCCAAGACCAGCGACGAGATGACCCCAAGGTTTCCATAATCCTGGACCAGGCCGTATCCTGAGCAGCTGCAGTGGTGGTCATGAAGGAGTGGAGAGCATGAGACTGATTCCTGTGACGCTCCAGGGACAGACGAGTCTTCGCTGAGCTCCAGCTTCCAGCGCCTAGACTGCAGCTCTGCCCAAGACGTTTGGCCATAAGAGAAATGGTCGTGCCCAACTGAGCCTGGTTTCTCTGGAGGTATTTTAATTCTTCATTTTCGCCGATTGGTGAAGTTTTTTCCTCGCCGCTGTCGCTACTGGCTTGCACGGTTCGGGATCTGTAGAGCTGGATTGCTCTTCAGTGTTTGGACACTCAGTAGTGATTTTTAAACCACACTGAACTGAACTGAACTTCAACTCTGAAAACTGAACTGACACTGTTTCAATTTACTATGATTTTCTATGTGAAGCTGCTTTGACCTGCTTGATCTACACTGTAATATGCTACACAAATAAAGGTGAATTGAATTGAATTTTTGATTTACGCTCATTATCTTTTAATACACGACCTCGTTGTTTCTTACTCTGCCTTTAGTTTTCACTTTTGTGCATTATAGTTTTACACACAATGTCAATATTTTGATCTACGTCGGCATGGGCTGGTATAAGATTTTGACGGTGTGATAACCTTGGATAAAAATACCACAGTTTCACAGTGTCACGGTATTGTCATTACTGCTCTAAAATATGTTATATTTTAATTTTTTGGTTAAAAAAACAACAAGTTTTTCCCTATTAAACACAACATATTTTTCTTTAAACAACATTTATAATGTTTTGGAGCAGTGAACATGTCAGACTAAATAATTAAAATAAATTATTGGTTTATAAGTGATTTGTTTTTCAAATGTTTGCTGAATTGTAGGCGGACCAGTAGTTGATTTGTATTTTAGTTTCTGCTTGAGATACACTTAATTTCGGTAAATTACACAGTATTTAACTGTAAAATGAAATGTATTTTACTGTAGGACAGTTATTCAGAATGTCAAAATATTTAAAAGTTGCATTGTGGGAAATATCTTCTTGGCACCTTTAAAATACAGTATTTTTAATCTGCTGTAAATCGAAATACAGTAAAACAAATGAGCTCAAACATAACCAATCACAGAAAAGGATTATTTTTTTCTGTCTGGAGAAAGAAAACACAGTTGCAAGAAGCTGGCAGCTACAAGGTGTGTGCAAATGCTCTTATGTTTCTACAAATACTTACTATGTTCATGTTTAAATTAATACAAATAAATACAAATAACAATTAAATAAAAGTTAAAAGGCTAAAAAACTAAATGAAGTAGTTGTTAAAAAATACATTACATATATTATAGGAATGGTATGACAGAAAATTTTTGAAGTTTTAAAACCTCGACTTTTCCAAACCGCGGTAAACCTTAAAACTGGTTATCGTCCCATGCCTAGATTAACGATTATTTTTCTATCCGCAACTGCAATACTTTAGGTAGGAATTTGATCCTGTAAAGGCAGCTGTCATTTTGTCACATTTCTTATATAATTGCAAATAATACGGATCATCAATCATTATTAAGTGAATACCAATGTGGTGAGCAAGAAGTACTGTGAAAATGTTATGTAAAAATTGTTTCAGTCTCTGCTAATGAGCTGATGATCTGAATCAGATTTGGTTAAGGAGACAAGGAAAATGTGCAGAGCTGGTGATCCTCTAGGAATATGGTTGAGAAACACTGCCCTAATGCATTGGTTCTCAACCATGTTTCTGTAGACCACCTGCACTGCACAATTGCGTGTCTCACTTGACTGTCACACCTACTTCGGGTCTTGCAGTCTCTGCTAATGTGCTGATGATCTGAATCAAGTGTGTTTGGTTAAGAAGACATAGAAAATGTGCAGTGCATGTGGTCCTCCAGGAACGTGGTTGAGAGCCACTGAACTAAATGACCAAACCATCAAATAGTACCTAGCATGAGTATAACCTTATTCACCATCGGGAGGTGGCATGATAACTTATGTAGGGGAAGTTTGTTTGGACAATCTAAAATACAAAGCAGCAACCGCAGAGCATTTGACGTGTCCAACGTTCCATCTTTATTTCAACGGGCTGAAAAAGTGCACTACCCCAGTATTTAAAACATTTATTCACTCAAATAAATAACATATACTGTTTGTTTAAACTACTTATTTAAAATCAGTTGAAACAACACAATTCTAGAGGTGTTTTGGAACAACTTAATTGCCTTTAGTTCAATCCACTTAAATTTGTCAAAACGATTACGTTTACTTAGTCAATGTGTGTTGAGGCAACATTAAGGAATTGTGTGAAACCCAGCATTTTTACAGTGCTCTTTTTATGATAAACTTCATTGTCAATGCACCATTTACTCTATTTATTCTACAAAATGGCATAGAATAGTGCATAAGTAAGCAATTTGGGACTCATGCAGACAGAGAACATATAAGGTCTAGTTTAAGTTGACTGTTGTCTGTCAGGCGTAGCGATGCAAGGTGGTTCTTGTCATTGGCTTGGTGTGTTGCCACCTTAAAAGATACAATCAACTGACAAAATATTTTAATACCAAACTAGAAATGGATTTACTAAAATCCTGTGTGTCGAGTTAAATAGATAATGCTCTACATAATCATTTTTGCTAGCATCCTCAGACTAGTAGACCTCAGTGATCATCTGATGCTTGTGGAAGCTGAAGTTCTTACCTTGTTGTGCCCTGCTGAGTCCAAGCAGAACTGAAATCAGGAGCAGCCTTACGTCCATCTAAAAACAGCACAAAAACAAAAGTCATTTTATTTTCAGTCAACGAACATATGATTAAAATAATTACAGGAAATGAACCATTTCCGACTTACAGCCATTAACCAACAGTAGTGAAAACATGTGTACATGTGTTTTGTTTATGACTTCCCAATTCCAAATCTTTCATCGCCAAATACGAAAGCATAATTGCAGGACTCAAAACTTAATTTCTTCATTTAGCAAACTCTTTCTCTACAGTGACAGACTGTTTTACAACCCTTCTGCAACAACCTGTGGATAAGCTGAAAGTACCCTGGATGCTGAAACCTATATAAGGGTGAGTGACCTTAATCAGGAAGACAGACTTTAAAAACAAACACTAATACACAGCGTAGACTGCCGTGAACACACTCAAGACACACAAACACACTGTTTGCTGAAGCCATGGATTAAAGGTAATAATGTTGTAAGAAATATCACACATTTTTTTTATAAAATAAATATGTTGAAACATCCAGTCTCATTCACTTCCATTGATTTTCATTTATACAGATCAGCTTGTTACGCTGCTTGATGTAACAAACAGGTATTTTCTTATTACATCGATTTACTGTCATTAAAACACTGGTTTGATTGTTTACTGCCGTTTGATATTTGTAGTCATTCAACCACAGGGACAAATTAATCAGACGTTTTAATATATTGGCAGAAAAGAGCATACTTCCTCATTTCAAAATAAAGCGGCTACTTTAGCTTCATCATAAGATCTTTCTCTATTATATGAAGAACCACTTTTTTTACTCTTATGAATGGCAACCAGTTTTGTAAAGTGTGGGAATATACATTTATATTATCTATATATAACTGAAAAGTTGTTTTCAGGGTGTGACAGACCTTAAAATGTCTTGTTTTCCTGAGCCCTGATGGTCTCCAAAGTAATGCGAATTATCAGTTTCACAGCACGGCTGTATCTATTGTCTTCTCTGTCTCCAGAACATCATTTGCACACCGTTTTAATGCCTAAATGTATCGTGAATGCTTATATGCTGATGAGATCGGGCCTGGAAATGCCTGTTACCCTGATGACAATAACATTTCGTTTGCATGCTTTGTTTGACTGCTCCCACCAACATGTATCAAATGTATTTAAACTGAGTGTCTGTTGTACCAATTGGGAGTCTCTTTCGATGACGCCACAGCCACACTGAGTTCTTCTTATTAAAAGGAGTCTGCTTTGAAGATACTGAAAGTTTTCCCTGTTTTTTTGGGCTCGTCTTAGAGTTTCACAAAAGTTTGGTGCCGTGAGCCAAACTAGAGAAATTCATAATAAATGTAACTAATTATAAATACTCAAATATCTTTAACTGAGTAGTTTTTTTAGGAATTGTAATTTACTAAGTAGTTTTAAAAATGTGTTCTCTTACTTTCCCTTAAGTACATTTTTAATAGTGGTGTAACGGCTCACAAATCTCATGGTTCGGATCACATTATGTTTTTTTTTTAGTCATGGATTGGACCATTTTTTTGGTTCAGCCAAAAAGGGGATGAGACAAATATAATTTGCTTTCCATTAATTACAAAAACAGCACTGAAGGACACTTTTGTTTTTAACAAAGATATTCAAGGTGTACCGCAAGGTTTTAAGTCAAAATTTTCTGCTACACCGTTCCTAAGGTATGTAAAAGATTATTTATTTTAAAAAACATATGTAATTTTTTTAAGACAACAGTATCTCCAGCTAAAAAGATATCCAAAGATGCCGTTTTAAATTGTACAGAAATCTTTTTTTTAACAAATGAAGACAGCAGAAGTCAATGATTCATTTAAATTATTTAGCCTGACTTGTTTACAGCTCTAAATATTATAAATTTTTCTCAAAATAAAATATACTATTCAAAAGGGAAAAAGGTTTTTGTTTTTAACCCAGACATTTAAAAAGAACTTATTTTAGAGCAGTAATCGAAATAACATGAAACTGTGACATTTTTTTCCAAGGTTATCATACCAGAATCAGAATCTTATACGGTATAGTACTGTATAGTATAGCACAATACATGTCTAGTTTAGACTGCATGTAACTGATGAGAAGATGGTGGATGTTTACTGTATGATGACTAAAATCATCAAATCTTAAACATCAAATAAATGGACTACAGAATGTTACGTTTACAAACACACACATGCATCAGTTTTCAGTGTAATACTCACTACTCTTTAAAGGGCTATTTTTACTCATACTTTGAGTAATATTTACAACATTTTTAGTTAAGTAATGGTACTTTTACTTGAGCAAGATATTTCAGTATTCCTTCTACCACTCACGGCAACCATTGACTTATATTTCACTGATAATCTTCTACTAAAGAAAAAATTCAGCTACATCTTCAATGGCCCGAGGCCAAGTAAATTAACAGCCAATTTTTATTTTTTTGGATAAACTCACCTTTTAATGGTTCTACAATCACATACAGTGAGATCACAAATTACAGAGCAAGTAAAAACCTATTTATCGTAATAACAGTCAGCAATGAGACGCTCAGAAAATTCTAGTTTGTGCAAGCCAGAAAAGACAAGCACGCACAGACATCCAGAGAAACCAAGAGATAAACAGAGAGAGATTCTACCCCCATATTTGGTAAAACGATGGATCTTCCCATGAACACCTCAGTGAGGCAACAAAAAGCAGAAGGAGGATCTCCAGCTCAATCATTCATCAAGGATACACACACACACACACACACACCACAGCCAAAAAGTCCTGATTTGGCCTTATTAGGAACGATAGTGAGCACAAACTCACAATGGCGCTATTTAAAAGACACTTTATTCACAAATGGTAACCTTTCACAAACGCACATAAGGAAAAACACACACACACTGAGCCAAACTCCAGCTGCTCTGAAGTAGAATTTGCATGTGACATGAATTATAGAGCAAAGCTGTTATTGCTGAAGCTCAGATACGGCTTCTGTTGAGTCTGGATGGATGGGTGAACTGCAGTAGACTCAACCGTTACTCTATCCATGCACACACACACCCACACACACAGCAGACCTGAGAACACTTGAAGATAAGGAAACAGTGCTTCTTTCAGTACACTCATGGCATTCAATTAGACCACACAACCCATCTTTGTGTCTGTGACAGAAATAGGAAGAGATATTAAAGACAGTAGCTTATCTTATATTGCGCTAGATCATATTTAAAAAACACTGATGGTGTAAATTAAATGAAAATGAAATGTGAATACTGAAAAAAAAGCTTGCTTAATTTAGGCAGATTTTTTATGCGGGCATCTTGGTGGCGCAGTGGGCAGCACGATCGCCTCACAGCAAGAAGTTCACTGGTTCAAGCCCCGGCTAGGTCAATTGGCATTTCTGTGTGGAGTTTGCACGTTTACCCTGTGTTGGTGTGGGTTTCCTCCGGGTGCTCCAGTTTCCCCCACAGTCTAAAGACATGCGGTATAGGTGAATTAAATAAGCTCAATTTGGACTATTTTCCCAATATCACCTTTACAAAATAAATAGCTTCAATAAAAGCAATTTTACAATGTCAAAAATTATAACGGGGGATGCACCGATATGGAAATTTTGGCTGACATGAATAACTCTTTACATTTACTTTCTTTACATATATACAGTGGTCCTTTGCTATAGCACAGTTTACCTTTCGCGCCATTGCAGTTTTGTGGATTTTTTTTCGTGTAATTTAACATGTTATTTTTACAACGTATTGTGTTCTGCCCCCTGATTAGCGCATTGTGATCTGTGCCCTGATTAGCGCCTTGTTTTCTGTGTCCTGATTGGATGTAGACCACTGTCAATCAATCTCCTTTGTGCCATGTCTCCTGTACAGTACAGAATGCGCTCAGCTTGCCAAACTTACATAAATCTTTGATCGCTAGCAGTGTGATTCTGAAGTGCTGTACTGTATGTTTACAAGTTTTCTCCCCACAATGCTGACGAAATGTTCTGCACAGTTCTGCGCCTGTGGTAGCACCCAAAAGGCAGAGAAAGATGCTAACCATCAAACAAGTTCAACTTTTGTACATGCTAAAGGAGGGTAGAAGTAATGCGGCTGTAGGGCGCCATTACGGAATAAATAAATAAAGAATAAATGGTTTTGATCTTAGATTTCATTCTATAACACTGGACTTATTTTGATACAAAGGTTTGAACTTTGAGAGTGTTTAAACAAGAAAGTGTAAAAATGTTAATGATTGTCTGAGAAAAGTGTGTAAAGTGTGTACACAGCCTTAGATTAATTGTAATTATTTTCAGATTTTTTTTCTGCATGACAGCAAAAACCAAAGTCAAACAAATAAACTGAGAAACTTCAGAAATAGATCAGTTCATAGATCCACATAACAGATCTGAACTCAAATTAGTTCAATGATTTTCTTCTTTTTAAATTAATAATTTGGCCCAGTTTCTGAGTAAGTGCTGACATTATCGTCCCGAACACATAGGACTGCTTTAGTCATAGATTATTTATGTCATTTCCAAATTTTCATTCACGTGAATTGGCTTGGTCACTTAACACATTAATGTCAAGCAATATATAAAAATGTATTAATATTTTATAACTTTGCAATTAAATAATGCATAGCACTGTCATTGTTAATTCACAAAACAAAGTTACTAATGCATTTACAAATCATAACTTCAAACTATCTACGATTGCAGACAATGTTAGCATTTTCACTTGCACCCTTTTTAGCAACTTCCATTAAAATCAAACTAGCTTCAAATTTAATTTGACCAGCATTTGGAAAAAAAGAAAAAATTCTAGTTACTTTTAAAAAACTCCAATTGTGAAAACGCAAGAGAACGTTCCGCCTCTTCCTATTTTTAGGACCTTTTTCTGAAGCACATTATATACACAGACAGAAAGAAAGGCTATACCGATAAACACATCCAAATTCTACAATTTTCTTTCTACACAAATGTAAATGCAGCTTCATTCAGATGAGAACACAAAACTGGATATGAATAAGTGTTCAAGGGCACACTGAGGAACAT